CCGTAATTTTGAAGATTCACATGAATCATCGGTTCATTTTTTTTCCATTTTTTTTTCGCAATTTCAAAATAAATAAAGATGTGAAATTGCAAACATTGCCGGAGAACATGTGCGGATTTCGACAACAGCAATTATACAGTCTTTAATCATTCTTTACCTTATAAAAACGTATCCAATTTCGGATATGTCACTTTCATGAAGGCCATTATTATAAAAAAACATATTCTATGCCATAGAATGTTTTTATAATATTGGCCGTTATGAAAGTGACATAGTATGCAATTGATATTACAGTAAAACTATCTGCTTTAATCTTATTCTTGGATAATCAATTAATGCATTCTTTGGGGCAAAAATGATATATCATGAGGGTACTGAATTTTGGCATGCAGTGATGTCATCGCCGCCTGTCTGAAATTCAAGAATTAATTTAATAATTTAAAATTCATTCAAAAATTTTAAAAGGTAGAGTATAATTAATTGTGTGCCAATGAAAAGCATTCCGTGCAAATACAATGCTGCAGCTTAAATATCACATGATTTTGATTTTGGGGAAGACGAATAGAATTCAAAGGATTCCCAACAGTTCTAGAGCCAATAATAAAAGTATATGCAGTAACAACAACTGTAATAGTAAAGAACATACATGTAGGGATCTAAAAGAATCAATGATTACTACAGAAGAAATTGTGAATAATAAAATCATAATTTCAATTTTCTGCTATATTGGTGTGATGGAAAGTTTAAAAATAGGTATTATTTTTGATTAACTTGATGCTTGAATAAAATACATTATTTTAAACAGCTGCCTGTTGATTGTAACAAATAAAACAATCTCGATGTATAGATAAAAACCGACATAGGTCTCATCATGCAGTCAGTCGAAAAGCATTGAAGAGTTTCTAAATTCTTACTCATAATTCTAACGTCTATTTTTTATACGTGCTTATCAGCTTTCCTTGATTATCTACCGTTTACACCAGTGCTAGAAAAACCGGTCTTACAACCCCATGTAAGACAAGTCGCGTGCTTTAGATGACGTCATTGCCGCGCGCCTTTTATGAATTGTGTTCTCAGGATGACGTTATCTTACCGTCATGAATGAAGTTGTAAGTTCATTCGCTACAATAAGAAAAACAGTGCGTAATGTGAATATCATTTTTCGTAATTTCTGTTCTTAAATTAATTGCTATGAAATATGCAAGAAAAAGAATCAAAAGAATCGGCAGAGCCTTGTTACCGCAGTAAACATTTACCCTCGAGCTAGATATTCCGGTCTGTCCCGGCGGCCATTGTAAGATTCTTATATTTTATACTCCTTTTATTGCTATGAAAACGGAAAATCTTTCTAAATCCTTTATTTTGATGGCTGGAAAAGTGACTTAAAATATCTATTTGTATATTTTTCGACATCCCGTTACAAGGCAACGAATATTTTCGAAGAAGATTATTAATTATATTCCATTAGTTTAATTTATTTCATTTGAAACACGTTAAAAAATTACTCCATTTTTGCGTTTAATTATATACGTTTGTTTTATTAAATCTAAGTTTTCATTGACATGTTTCTCAAATTGTGACATTTGTCACTTGACATCACATCTACATTAACCATCCATGAACGTATAAATTAATGAAATGTATTCGTGATTAAGATTTTTTATGAGAAACATCTACTAAAGTGATAAATTGTCGAAGGAATTTCATAAAATATTCATGCACTTTGCCAATTGTCGAAATAAAATCAGAGAATCATCAGTAACAGGCAATTTGACTCTTATGAAATTAATATATTTAATAAGAATTTGCTACAAGCATGTTTTTATATTGTTTAATCGCCCTAAGGATATGTTGTCTGCTTTTTAAATTTGTCTTTTGATGTCTTGTCTAATTTCATTTAGCTTGGTTCCGCCCATTGTTTTCTCGTCTAGGGCACACGTTTTCTTTTACGTTTGGGCCATACGCCGCTTTTCATAGAATGACACGAATGTTTGTCATTGAAACCATGATAACCGCAGTATGAACACATGTATATGCATATGTTTCTAAATTCAAAATGTCACCAATTGCATGATTAAATGTTGAATTCTGCAAAAAAAAGGTGCTAGATGGAGTGGACGGTAACTTGCAATTTCCAGTACTGTCCATGAACAGGCTTAATCTAATCGAGCTTGCAACATTTTCAATTTTGCCGTTTTGGGAGTTTTTAAGTGTTTTTTTCTATTTAAAACAGAGGAAAAAAAAACAAGAGTATAATTATAATAATAAAATATTGGCCAATTAGTCTTACAATCAAAACATAATTATACAAAATACATAATGAATTTAAATTAAGACTAAACTGATAGTGCTTTATTTCTAATTCACGACATGGACGGTTTTTTATGTGAAATTTTCAAATTACTTCTTAATCAAGTATAAATATCAAAACATTGTCTAAATCATTCAAATGTTGTTGTTTTTTACAATTAACTGAAACAATCGTTTTTATCGTTGATACTTAAGGTTTATTTTTTCTGTTGTCGTTTTTTGTGTTGTTGATTTTTCCAAAGTAAGAAGTACCTCAACTTTAAATTATTACAGTTTTGCAATCGTAAATGGCAAGATGAATGACACAAGAAATTAACAGATGACGAGAAAGTAGCAAAAATAGCAGCCGTAATCAAGCGATCATGAACAGTTAGTGGAAATAATTGAAATGATATTTATGAAGACAGTTTGCGGCATCTCAAAAACTTTAGAATATGGAAAAACTTTTAGGGACAGTTTTTGTATGTCTGGGATAATTGGGTCGCTCGACATCAAAAGTGTGTCCTCAAAAGGTGAACTCTTTTAAAAGTGAAAAAATATAATAAGCAGAATTTTTGGAAGAGCCCGTAACTTCTTAAATCTTGTTGACTTTCATATATTACTAAATGTCAGAATAACTTTTTAAAAAGTATACACGTACTATAATAAATCCCGTAACAGTCAAACTGTGTTAAAACCACCTAGGAATATAATCCAGCGGTAAATAACGGCCACTTATCAGCAAACCACGATTTGTTTAATAGAACAATGAAACCCCGAAGAAGAGACCCCTTGTACAGAACGGTCATGTTTAGTTTCTCCTTAAGATGGCCTTTGTTCATAGTTTTAACTATATATTATATTTTTGGATAGAAATCAAGAACAAAAACTCATTATCGGAGTGGACAGAGGATACGTTTAAGTGTTTTGATTTTACTAAACAATGTAAAAGTTGGGGTGCCAGGGAGGATGTTTTATTTACAAGGCTGATTTGTGATTTGAATTTGTCCTACATTGTCCTACATTCAGTAGGGAATAATTATTTTGACGTATCGGTGATTTATGAAACCTTCTTTTAGTTAAATTACTGCTATCATGACATTTTAAAATTGTGCTATAAAATAGTACAAAAACAATTGCCATTTATGAAAAATATACTGACGTAGCATGTATTCATGGCATTATGCCTGGGTTTAACTTATAGGTCTCTTATGAGAAATAATCACTGTTGACTTTACTCTTATCGTATTGACCTTATTTGTCCGATATTAATATACATTTCCATTTTTGTAATTATTGGTACTGATATTTGTGCGACGGTTTTCCAATCTAGCTAAGAGATACACAAAATAAATTAATGAATAGTAATAGATGAATAATCTATCTAGCAAACACACACATCTGGCTATTCGTGCAAGCACTTTAATAAATTTTACGCGCCTGACTGATAATAATCTTTGTTTTTTTAAAGTTGTAGTTTATAAAAAAACAAAACAAAAAAAAACAAAACCTTGAAGCTTTAAATAAAGTACCTTATGTGCTTCTCTAAAGTCAATATTTTGTTTCAATTTCATCATATAAGAAGGTGCAAACAATGTTTCAATTTGAATATTATATTTTGTCCTCCTTTCCTAAAACTATATTTTAACAATTGTCGATGATGTACAAGCTTCTTAACTTTACTTATGTAATTAATGATCCAATTATTATAAATCTTATGATCCACCATTATATCAAGTTTATTGTTGAAAAGCATTGTTTCGATGCGTAGCATTTAAAGTATTTTTTTTTATAGCCAGCAATTTATAAGTTAAAAAAAACAATTCGTATAAAAATGCAATTCTTTGTACGGAGCTTACCGTAATGCTGGTTTAAGGAATCGAATGATATTTATCTGAGTTGGATCTTTGTCTCATTTATATCAGTATCAAACATTTTTTCTCAAAGTCTAATGTAGGAAATGCAATAATGTTAACCCCTTTCAGAATTGAAGAAATGCATATTTTAATATATGAAATGTATATATTAATGCTGTTGTAGTCGTGGAAATGTGTAAGTTAGTATATACGAATGTATTTCAGCTCGATTGTATTGGAAGGTATGCATTATAATTGTAACACTCTCGAATCGTCTCTGGAACCAACAAGTACTTAGCAATAAGTATAAAGTTTCTTGCTCAACGAAACAATGGCTTGCCCCTGCCGGGGTTTAAACCCACATGTAGGTTTGAAACACAAGCTACATGTACAATACTACTGAATAACTTTTACGAATTACTATTATGTCATAATTGTGAAAGTTAGTGTTGTACTTTAAACGAGAGAGCTCTTCTAAGACAGCGTACGTATATATATGTACTAATAAAATCATTATTGATACATCCGTGCCTTTTGGTTCATCAAAATAATCGTCTATAATTATCATCAGATACACATTGAAAAGTGTTCGCATTTGCTAAATGCACCTTTGGTTTATAAGAATATTCATTTGAACGGCTTTTATGCCGTGTTTTGCGCTTTCTATTGCACTCATTTTTTTAACAAAAATCTCTCTTTACAAACAGTTGAAGTATTGCACTGTAAATTTGATATTATGGCTGTACAAAATCCAGCTGGCACATTTAGCGGAAATGACTCTTAACATATTTTTGTAGCGGATGTCATCAATTAAGGAAAACATCAAGAGAAAACGAACGCTAGAAGCCCTACTCACATCCCACACGCTATGTATTAGATAAAGCCTTATTCTTATTGAAAGTGTTTAGTGTTCGCTAGAAACGGAAGGACGAAAGCGTTGCTTATAGGCGCTCTGGAATAAAGTGTCAAATATTGGAAAACATTGTATCTTGCAACATCTTGATATATTAAACAGTTTTGTCAACTAAACATCATAATGATCAGCGCAAATTTAAGGAACTATTTATTATCGTTTATATTTGTAATATTTGTTGTTAATGAGGTAGCCGCCTTGCCGCTTTCGGGTGTGGACAATAGGAAATTTGGTATCATACTTGACGCAGGAAGCAGCAGTACAAAACTCAGAATATACACCTGGGAGGATACCATAGAAAGTGTACCGAAGTTTGATGAATATTTCTACAAAAAAGTAAAACCAGGCATAAGTTCTTTCCATGAAGATGCGGATGAGATTTCAGTATACATCAGGAATATTTTAGCAATTTTAAAGGTCGAACTTGTAGAAGAGTTATGGTCGTCCACTCCGCTTTACTTCATGGCAACAGCAGGTAATTAATAAAAAGATAGTTCAGTTTTACGACAAATGGTTACCAAAACGCAAGCAATATGTATCAAAATAGTTAATCTTTTTTTATAAATAATACTTTAATTTAAAACAAATGTAAGTTTTAAACTGTAACAAAAATGAGCTGCCCATTACATACAATAAGTGTTTTATACGCCTATTAAGTGATAAACATTTGGGAAGGTCAATTGCATTTCCTGATTTAAACTTCTATGAAGGAAAAAAAAGTTTGCACGTAGAAATACTATTTTAATTAATTTTGCTTCTATTTTAATATGCGTATCAGATTTACAAAAAATATAAATAAATTTTTAAAAATATTAAAAAACAGATTCTTTTATAACGAAATGAACGCCTCTATAAACCTTTGTTACATTTTAATTAACCATCAAGGCCCTTAAATGGATTTCCTTAGAATCTAATCTAAATTTGTATAAAATAAATGCTTTATGACTGACATTTTGCATCTCATGTAAAAGCTGTTTCAGAATTGTATATAGTTTTTTGTGAGTAATTTACTACAAATAATGAGAGTATACCTCATTTGTTATTTAATTAATATAAATCATGTTGATTTATCTTCATTATGAATAAATAAATACACATAAAGCACGAAGTCATAATAGAAATCTGCTATCGTGGTGATATCCGACAGACAAAATTAAATAAAAAAACATTTTATAACATTTTTAAAAAAAAATGAGTGTGACCAAAATGCTAATTTATCTGTTGTAATTGTTTATTTTCTTCGTTTTATGAGTTTTTTAAAAGTAACGTTGCAGCATTATGATTTATCTTTGTCTAAGAAATAAAAACATGTTTATTACATGACCACGCTTTAATGTACACATCTGAATAAATATTGGAACAAGTCAGATTTATTAATTTACATTTTTGTACCACATTTTGGTAACAAAAATGAGAAAGTGAAGCGTGAATTTTGAAAAAAAAAATTCATTTTATGAACCGATTTAGGCAAAGGCAATTGTGTAAACAGTTGCAAAACAACTCATTTTCACACAAAAAAATACTCATCAATTTTCAAAATTTTAATATTACAATACAATTCGGTTAAACAAAAAACGATCTGCAATTTAAAATCAACCCATCAATTTACAGTATATTATTATGTTATCAATATCCCTTGCAGGAGTTACATATGACACGAAGATTCAAATTATTAGATTTAACCTTTTAGGCAAAATACAGATTTCGCAGTGCTAGACAATTTCAGACAATTTCAATTTTCTTTTATTACTTAATGATACAAATGTATATTGTTTTATTCGACTAAAGTCAGCATATATGCACATAAATTTAGATTGTATTTGTAGATTACTGTGTTTCAATTTCAATAATGCAAGGCAGTATTTCAAATACTGTCAGGTTCTTGTGGTAAATACGTTTGAAACGGTGCAATTTCTGCGCACGCAATTTCTGTTTGAAAGTTCTAGATATAATATTTTGTATACCAAACTGTTTCTACACAAACACATCTTTTCATCAACCGATTTATATAATAACCATTTAATAAGAGAGTGTGGTGATTTGATAACTAATAATTGCATTCGAATTGTGATGATTTTGAATTGTGATGAAATTATTGCTTATATTTGCAATATAATTGTGGTGATTTTCAAATGGGATGATTTTATTGCTTGTATTTACAATGGAATTGTGATTATTTTATTGCTTATAAATACGCAATTCTGATGATTTTACCACTGATATTTGCATCGCAAAAGGTCGAGTGAGCACTAAATTAAGGTTTTCAAAACATGTATGTTTTTAAATTTTTAAAAATTTATGGGGGGCCTGTTTGGAAAATTGAGAAAGGCTATTTCCACGGGCATCATTCATTTTATAAAGGTACATTTTTATAATATCACATTTTAAGATTTTTAAAAAACTAAAATATTTATAAACAAATTTAACTGCAAAACTGTTTGTAAAATAATTTTAAAAAAATTTTTTTGTAAAATTTAGGGGTTTAAAAATACTAAATAAAGTAAATCATTTAAAATTTTCCAAAGGAAACCCAAGGGGTTTTCCCTACCAAAATTTTGTTCTTTTTTATAAATTTGGAAAATTTTATTATTTTAAAAATAATACCCTTTTACCCAAAAAATTTCCAGTAAACTTAACGTTTCATTAGTATGATTACAAATTTTCATGTTAAACTTGTGCTTTTAAAACGTTAATTGTGTATAATTGGAGGAAAACATGAAAAAAAATTCAACGTCGGCATTATTAAAATTCATCCATATTATGATCCTAAAGTTTTAACCGAAATTCTAAAAGCCATTACAAATCAATATTTAATTTAAGACTATTTTGCGTTTAGAAAAGTCTGATTTATTTTTAAGTTCTATTTTATGATTTTAGGGTGCAATTGTATTCGCTTTATGCTCACTTTTAAGAACGATTTTACGATTAATTACAACAGCGGAGATTGGCTTTGTGGAAATCATGATGCATTTTTTTCTGAAACTCGATGCTAGGATACACAGAGAGGTGGATTTTTGAATTCCTTATCCAAGCAACATGTTCTTCAAATGAGAATTTTATTGGGTGAAGAGATAGATTTATTTCATTCTAGCCCAAAAATATTTAACATGCATCACACGCATGCAGATGATTTCAAATTTCTTTTTTGTTATTTTAGGATGAGATCCTTATTAGGTAAAATTTATAAAAACTTAAAGATCATGTTTAATATATATGCAAGGACATGAAAACATGAGACCGTAAAATCTGGTTAAAATGTCACTTTGTGTACGATTTATTAAAGTTATAATATTGAAATGAAATATAAAATCTAATCTGAAAATAATCCTTAACTTAAACTCTGAATAATTCAACTTTAACTCCGAGGATTAATTGAAGTTTAAGTTAATACATTATCACTTACTGTTTATGCATTATACTTTTACATAATTATGCAAATTGCAGTCATTCTGTTAATTCAATAGTACCACGTAACTAAGATTTTAATACTGTTACTAATTATTTGTTTACAAAAACATCTAATCAGTGCAGCAAATTCTACAAGCACAACCGTGTTAAACTTTTAAAAACATACATGCAGCATTTGTGGAAATACATATGAAACAAGCTTAAGAAAATATTGTGAAAGTAGTCAATTAAATCTAGCTCATAACCCGTATTAATGGGTCTGTGTTTTGATCTCTAAATGAACCAAAACTGATTGTATGTTTTATGACATGTACTCAAAGAAAAAGAATGAAAAAATAATAATTTCTAAATTTCAAAGTACGCAGTTTATACAATGAGCTGAATTTATCTACAGTTACAGTAAAAATATAAGTGCTGAAGACTATCAAAGAAAGCAAACATTATCATTTTTGTAATATAGCTTGTTTACAATTTCTCTGTTTAGATCTCTTGCCACATCATATAAGCTAAATGACGATGTAGTATTTAGAAATATGATACGTCAAAAGCATAAATGTCGGAAGCAAATTGGTTCAAGTACTTAAATCCGCTACTGTTCTATATAGAGTAGTGAATACTCGTATATAGGTCGAGTGATTGCCAGATTAGTTTGTCTTAATTGTTTTGCGAATCCTGTTTCACTAGCATGTTAAATGGTCGCTTTTTTCAGTAAATAACAACGTTTTACGCAATAACTTTAAAACGTATTCGAAGTGTTAATCCGATGCGGATGTTTTATGTACATGTAATATTATTGACGACTTGCATAAATATTGCATTGTGTCATTCCGCAGTAAAGCATGCGTCTTATTCACTTTCGTATAAGACTTAACCACTGTGCTTACGTGTTATAACTGCCATTTGCTATATTAAGGTCTCAAGTATCAACTACCTTGGGGGCGTCCGTGACCGAGTGGTTAAGGTCGTTGACTTCAATCACATTGCCACTCACTGCATTTGGTTCTAATCACGACAGGGACTTTGGATTCTTTTTTTGTGAGGAAGCTATCAAGATAACTTACGGAACGTCGTCGGGTCTACCGTTTGTGCCTGAAATAATGCACGGAAGAGCACCTGAGGTCGTCCTCTTTCAGTTAAACGTCGACCTGTACTGTGTCGGTGTTACGTAAAACCCAACCAAACAAACAACCAAACCAACTACCTTGTTTCTGTTCAGTGATCTTTGTTTGTCTCATGTTATTTAGGATCCTGTGTCGGAATCGGCGCCTTAAAAAATAAACATGTATATATGTTTACCATAGAAGATGAAACGTCGGACTGTATTTTTCTTTAAAATAAAAGAAGGAAAATGAAGACAGACTCTATTCATAGGAAGCTAAGATGAAAAGCAATCATTAAGAAAACGTTCCTGAACTTTGGTCTTGAGGGATTCAGCTATAATTAAACGTATTTCGTTTACTTTACGCATGTGTTACTTGATTAAGCAATTTGTTAACGGCTATCAAATACGGGATCTGTGATCGGATGTTATTTACGAGTAATGAGTGTTGAAAACCTCTTCAGAAGGTTTCTTAGGTTCATTGCCTTTGGAAAATTTACTTCTATCACGAGTGCTGACAATTATTTTAGGAGCGTTCTATTACTATAATTTCATTTACATATAAAAAAAAAGCTGACGAAACTTAATGATTTTGGACTTTATCAATTTTGTGTTTAAACGAATTCACATTATGGTATTCTGGGTTTTTCCTTATATATTTTATTAACTGAATAATTTACATTTACCATGTTCCAGATAAATATGTGCCAATTCCAACAGGATATATTTTTCCAATGTAGCTCTTGTACTGTTCCTGATATTAATATGATTGCATAATTTTGCGACGCATATTTACATAATTTTTGACAAATAGAACATTTAAAAAAAAAAAGAATAACGGGAAAAGTAAAAAAAGTTACAATGTAAGGTTATATACCATTAGATTCAGCAATGGAATTACCTGGAACATGGATTATGTTTAATATTCAAGAACGAAATATTAGCAAAAACCATTAGCGTTGACCCATTTGTAACGTAAACAAATTTCATGTGATAACCAACGCTGTGTATTGGGCGGTGCAGAGTTAATATGATTGGTGTTATTAAATGTTTTTTAAATGCATTTGTTCCCAGTTTGGTAAGATAAAACCGATGAGATATTGTATTTCAGTATGAACAAAATTATTCGTTTATACTCGCAAATGCAACATCTTCCATATTTACAACACTGAAGTATTTTAAAAGCCCATTATACCCAAGAGAAATGCTTTTAATTATAATTCTCAAAAGCTTTTTTTTCTGGTGTGGTGTAATAGTTCCCTTGGACAGTTACCTAACCATATTTTGCTTCTGTTGCCTTTTGGCTATAAGTAAAGTTATTACATATTTATTTGGTATTTCGTTTGGAAGTCAAAATACTACTTCGTTTATATTTTACAACTTTTATGACAAAAAATGCTACATCCAACGCTACTTTCTTTATTTAAAATTTTCTAAATTCATTATTTGAATGTTGTAAAACGCTTGATTGTCCTTTCTAAAGAGGAAAAGTTTTAATAGATATTGAAGCATAACGTGTCTTTAAAGGAAACGAATATTCATAAGAAGATCTCGAAAAAATGTGAAAATGCAACAATTAGAAATGGTTTTTACTTCAGGACTCCGGCTTCTGGACGAAGAGACCACATCATCTATAATGTCCGCAGTGCAGGAAGTACTTCTAAACATAGACGAAAATCCTTTCCAGTTTGAAGAGGAAAATGCTCACATACTTGCAGGAGAAGAAGAAGCCCTTTTTGCATGGCTTACTGTTAATTATCTCAATGACTTTTTTGCAGCAAAAAGGTAAAATAGTGACAAAATGTTATAATCGTTGAGTAAGATTAAAGACAATTCTTAGTTTATACACATTAAGGAAAATTACAGCGTTTTTTACAATTTTGAAAGAACTCCTCGTATGTTTTGCGAAAACATGTGGCCAATAAAATTATGAATTTAATGATGTAAATTACAACTTTATCCCTCTCAGATACCATAAAATTGTGTAATAACTAGTTCTCTTTAGGCCCCGTGGCTTTTCCCGTTAATGAGAAAGAAAAAAGTCATCAGGTCAGCCATCTTTTACAAGGCTTTTTTTTAATGAGCATAATCTTTGCTTATTTAGAGTGAAAGTTACTATAATCCCATTTTGCAATATTTCCAAAATATATGTCAACGAAAATGCCTAAAATGACATTCAGGCGCTTCTTTGAAATGTCTAGTTTAAGTAATGATATTAAATCTGTCTAAATGATGCATTTTAATATACAAACAAGTAAACCAAACACTATTTTCCACGTAAAAATAATTGCAAATAAATACCTTAGAGGGTTAATTTTTCACAATTCTGTTTATTATATTGCTTGATGAAAAGCTATGACGATTGCATTTGATGTAGCATGATGCATATAAAAAGCATATATCTGAACACATCCTCGGGTGTTTCGAAATTCAAAATGTCGTCAGTTCATTTTAAATGTTGAATTCTGCTTAAGCCAGTGCTTTGACTCCTGCCACTTGTTCTTTTTGCTGAGTCATGTGGGGATTGCGTTCATTGAACGCCACTTTTCCTTGTAGATCTTGTTTATCATATTTCTTGCACTTTCCAGTACCGTCCTCGAGCAGACTGGCTCAAACCGATCTGCAACATGTTCAATTTAGTTGGGCTTTCTTTAGGGATTTTTGTCTGTACTACATTTGCTTCAATAAGTTCGTTTTTGTTGTTATGTGTACCTTTAAAATCATTTGCTATTTCTATTATGTTTTAAATATTTCAAAATGATTTTATTCCATGAAAAACATGCCTGGCATCATACAGTTTGTTGCGATAGGATAAGATACGTTTTTGTAGCATTATATTATATTTTTACACATTTATTCTATCTGTCATAAGAAGATTGAATTATTCAAACATGGAAGTATGGCAGACAAATTATATCATGTTGGTCATTTTTTGTGTTTTCCACTGAGAATAAAGTCGGAAATCTTCTATCTCTAGTTCACAAACACAAATCTTACGTGAATTCATCGACTTGATAAAGTAATGGATTGAAATTACAGGAGTTGTTTATGTTCGTATATTGAGTATGTAAACTGTGTGTAATTATGTAGATTTAACAGAGAATACAATGAATTTCATTATAAATCAAGTATTTTGTAAGACATCGTAGGTTAATGAGTCAATATTTTCTGCTTTAAGCTGTGGTTTCGGTGTCAGTTTAGAATAATAAACACGCACTTTAGTCACTTCGATTTATTTTATTACTTCTTGCACTTGTCACTGATTGGCAAGTGTATAGATATATTTATTTTTTCTCCCATATTCTTGGTTTCCTAAATAATTTCAATTCAAATATTTCGTAACACTTCCCGTTTCTCTACATTTGACACTATCTTATAATATTTACCTTTACCCTTTGCTATGTAAGTGTTAATAATCAATCACTGGTATGGTAAATATATAATGTAAAAGCAAAACTAAATTCAGCGGTAATTTGTATATAGAGATTTTCACTAGATGTTTTATGACCTGTACACTAATTGCCTTATTTTTTACTCATGTTTGATAAGGCCAGCTTCGGAGAGTCTAGGATTAATTGAGCTCGGTGGAGGATCTGCACAAATAGCGTTCATTCCAGATGATCCCATTTATGCCGGGAAAATGCCGGCTACGATTGCTGGGAAGGAGTATGGAGTATATTGCCACAGCTATTTATCATATGGCGCTACCTTAATGTCTGAAAGAATTACAGAGTTACTTATACAAGAAAATAAACACGCAAACGTTATCATCAATCCATGTATGCTTAAAGGTAGATCTTTAAAATATTTTCAATAAACATTTAACTGTACGGCTTTCTGTTACTGTACTTTTAGCAACTTTCGCGATCACAAAATTTCGCGTCTTCATAAGGATGACGTTTTCGTGGGGACGAATTTTCGCGAAATTATAGCGGCCACGAATTACGCAAAAATTACGTTGCTGAGGGCATATATATTACTAGTATCAAAATTGCGTATTTGTTCTCTCTATACTTGCAAGCCAAGAATACAATATGTACCCACGAAAGACGCTAACTTAATTGGAATACAGTATTCATTTATTGGTTTAGCAGCATTTGTTTTAAATGTTTCCTCCCCGTTTCAAAATCCAATCATCATAAATGCACGTGGTTAAGATATTTTTTTTCTGATGCATCATTTAAATTTAAGTTATTGTATAAATATGGACTTGATTTATTTTCAACTTAAGGTGATTCAAGAAATGGGACATTAGGGAATAAGATGGTGGCAATGATCGGAGGTGGAAATGCATCATTATGTGAGGACTTACTTAAATATTACCTGGCACCAGCCGAGGCCGACATGTGTTCTCCAAAACCTTGTTCGATTGGACAGGTCTATCAACCGTCAGTCAAAAATCGAAAGTTCTTCACCTTTGGCCTGATTTACTACTTAGCGAAAGACTTCAACATTCTTACGAAACCAGGAATTTTGAATCTTAAACAGATGCAAAATACGGTCAGGGAATATTGTGAAAAGGTATAATATTGTTTTTGTTTGGTTTGGTAAATAGAACAGTTTTATATAATTTGAATGAGTTTGCCATTAATGTCATATTTCGATCTAAAACGTAAACAAATGTAAGCAGAACTGCAGACCTTTATGTCATTCATGAAAGAAAAATGAAAAGGCTTTGATGTTTAACCATTTAAAGGCCTATTATCATTTCATTTTTATTTCTAATAATCTTGTTATATTTTGTATTGTTTTATAGCAAGTTTCACATTTACCAATTACCTGAACTGTTTTCTTGATCTTCTTCTAGTGCTTTTGGGCAATAAGTACATTTCAAAGTGAATAAATAAATGTTTTGTGTGGAAGTCAAAAACCATCTTTGTGTACATTTTGCTACTTTAATTACAGATAATTTTACATTACGGGATATTTTCTTTAGGTAAAAAGCATCTAACATGCTTTAAAACCATAATTTAAGGTTTTAAAAACGGTACAAAACTCATATTTGACGTTTCCAAAGAAGTAAATATTTATTCATTTCTAAGGTACCTTAAACACCAAACCATTTATACAAATCTTATAAACTTTTTAAATTTTTGTTGTGAATTTTTAAAATTTCTGTTTTGATAAAAACGAGGAAAAAAAAAAATATTTTTAAAGTTAAAAAAATGTAATAGTTACTAAAAGGAAAAACCCTTTTCATTTTTGCTAAATAAATTTTTGGGACTTTTTTTTAACAGCCCCCTCACCCATTAATTAGATTTCTGTAAGTATTGATACGTGATATATCTTCATTCGATAGCAAGTGTTTGGGTTAACTTTCTAATAGTTATCACGAATCCAAAGTGCCTGAAAAACCAAATCCGTGATTATTTTTGAAAGAAAAGAAATAAAAACAAAAAAGAAATACTTAAATATTTACAAACATACTTCCAACTTTACATATGATTCCACATACAATAAGCTTTTTATCTTACAACATGACTCAACATAATCAGAAGCTTTATCATTTTGGCTTTTGTTTAGTTTATTTGAAGTGACTTTTAGTCCATCAAAGTTTAAACGCTTGGGAGAAAAAGTAAAAGGCAGAACAAGTGTACATTTTTCCATATTTGTTTCCAATTTCATATTCAATCTACTTTAAATGAATATTCAATAACTTACGAAGCACACGGGATGTCTATAAAACCTTTCAGAATGCAGTTGATAAAATAGTTGGTCAGTTTTATAGATTAAGGAGTTTGTATATTTTTATCCTACAGAATTCTAATCATCAATTATTGGTCAATCAACATTAAAATAGTCAGTCATTTCATAACGAACAAATGAGCAAAATTTCACTCTTATGAATGTAATGCTTTTGGTTTAGTTCTGATATATGTATGTTTTAGTTATGGTGAATATTAAGAAGCAAGTTTGCATCAAATTGAATATTAAGTTGACTTTACATTTACTTTTAATTTGACAGAGCTACGAACATGCAACGACGGTGTTGGGAATGTCTGAAGAGTACGCCTCTAGAAACTGCCAGGACGGACTCTACATCCCATTGTTGTTCTCTGCAGTTGGTCTAGACATTGACAATGTTTTTGCAGCCAAAGACATGCAAGGCTCCTCAGTCGGTAATGGTTATTACTTTTACATTTCTGATTATGACATCTCTGTATGTAATAAAGAAGCAACAGGTCGTCATACAAGTTTTCACCGATATAAAGTCAACTCAAGCGTATGATGGATGGCTCAATCTCATTCTGCTAAATCTTTGACTTACAATTGAATAAGAAAAACTCCCTTGGGTGATGTTATTTTGGGTTCCGGGAAAACATTTTGAATGAACTGTACTTGAACATAGAAAGATGAACTTTTTGAATTTAGAGGTATTCGCAAAATAGAAACCTTTACTTTCATTTTACCTTCTTATATATGAATAAAATCATCAAACTGTTTGATTTACATTATCTAAAAAAAAAAACCAAAAAAAAACAAAAAAAAACATAATCTTAAAATAAATGTTTGTTTGTTTTTCAACCCGCACACAAACATCACTGCTACCCAAAAATGTTATTTCAAATTAAAAAAAGATTATCAATATTATAATTAATATTATTATCTCGGAAGCAGAGTCTTTTGTTGTAAATATGGATATATAAATATGTCTGTACATTTGAATCGATATTTTCTTGTTGTTTTTTTTTAATTTTGTTTTGTATTATGAAAGTGATTAAATCTACATTTGCTGCAACTTTTCGAATATTGGTAAAATTTCGTTGCTTGCTTTAAATTCATGATCATGTACTACATTGTTAAAAGGGTATGGAAAATATACCAGTCATAAGTCTTGTTTTATGTTTGATTTAGCATGGAGTCTTGGCGGAATACTGTATGAAGAAGAAAGAAACAGATATCAAGAATTGACCAGTCAATTAATGGAGCTGTAGAAATTGTCTACAAACACGGTCGACATGATTAAAAAATGAAACACAACGCTTGTGCGTTCAATATTTTCTATGTAATATTTTATGAAACATTCTAAGTTTAACAACTTTTATTTTTCTTCAAATTTTGCCCTTGCTGAAGAATATGTAGCATACTCGGTGTTTCTTTTTACATTTATTGACTTATCATAAATGCAATCTACATGTGGCAATAAAAACAGTTTTATTGCTATCAACGGAAAAGAATTCCGGTCAAACTTGACAGTGAATAAGAGCATTTGATAAGGGAAGTGCATGAGTACATTCCTTGAAAAATCGGCGAATGTTCTTTCTTGATATATTTCGAAAATAAATGAGTTGATATCTGAAGTTTTTAAAGATCATACTATCCTACTGCAGTCTCCTGTTAAATATTACTATTGCATAACTGGAGTAAATTTTTGCTCTCCTCTTAAGTGCGTTTTGTTGTTGTTTGAGTCAAAATAGACAATCACTTAGGGATAATTTTGAAAAGAAACAAATGTTGTTAATTCAAATTTCATCAGAATGCATGTAAATTAATTTGTGAACTGGTTTATAATTCATAGTGTGTTAAGTTTACATAATTAGGTCAAAGTTTAAATGCAAATATGTTCCGCTACAAATATACCCTTTTGAAACACTAAACATATTTTATCAAACAACTTAGCGGCTTGAAATTAGCAACTGAGTGTCTGGGCAGCCCAACCTCGTGAAGTTTGAGAAAGTTAACCCTGTATGCAGTTTTAAAATACTGTTTTTCGAAAATCACTTAGAACACATTTACAGAAGCAAGTTAAACGCTTGAATCAAGCTGATGTTGAAAATGATGTATTGCAGATAATGGCTACGTCTGCCTGTAAAAATTCATTACACAGCTCAAAAATACAATGAGTAAAATGACAACTGAACCATTATCTCTTCTGTCAGAGCTTTCCTGTTAGCTCAACGGGATACCCGGGTTCGATTTTCAGACTGCACAGGTCACTTTTGTTTTCATTGATTATGAAAACCTTTCTATGATCATTCGCACTGCTCTGTTATGCACAAAAGTTAAAAAAGTTCTTTGCGAAAGTGAAGGTAACTAGTACTGGTAAACTGCTTGACAGCCTGACCAGAAACGATGCAATGACTGAACTGAGCTCTGGTAAATACAATGTGGCATACTGTCTTGATCAGGAGTAGAAATTTCAACCACCACCATCATTTCCTGTCATGTTAGGTTCATATGATGTACATGCATACTTAATAAAAGTTACTTTAAGCCTTCATTTATTTTGCCTTAGTGTATTAATAGTTTTGCATGATTTAATTCTTAGACCTGCCTGAAGTTACACTTGACTTATCCCTATTTCTTTGTGTCATTACAAAATAATAACAATATTTTATCATTAACGAGAAGTTCCATGCAATTTCAATTTTTAAAAAAAGGGAAACATTTATGAATCATAAAACCCATTTAGCCCTTTATAAACCCCTTCCATAACTTATCAAAATTTCCCTAATTTCTGAATTTTTATTTCCATTTTAAAATTTTTTAACCTTAAAATTTTTAAAAAGCAATTTTTAAAACTTTCTTTTAGTTTTTAAATTTTCTTTTTTGATTGCCAAAATTTTTCTTAAACGATTGAAAAAAAAAATTTTTTAAACTTCTAATTAAAAAAAATTTAAATAAATGCTCAAGTGTTGCATGTTTTCGCACATTAATGTGATGTCATTTGTTTGGTATGGTATTGTTTATTATATAGTAGGCAAGATGTTTTAACGTGTGGAAAGCACTGTATAAACGTATCCCGAGGGTTGTGGGTTCGAGTCCAGACCAGGCTGCACATTTTTCAAGCCCTGTGACATTTGGCGACCAACGGGGACCGCGATGGTATGTAGCGATGAATCAATGTCACATTGTACATGTAGCCTGAGAAATTCAATTTTATAACAGCGGTAAAGCATGTTTCGGTAGAGAACTCTCGTTCCTCCCTGAAAAGAAAAAAGATGTGTCAGTTGCCGGACCTCTCTATCGCTAGTGCGACGGGACGGTATTCTGATGATTGAGTCCCGGTCAGGTGGCACAATTATTTTTTACACCCTTAGTCAATTGTGCATTTTTTTTTTTAAAAAAATCGGTATTTTTACAATGTTATAGCATTGACTATCACTGAAAAGTCCTATTTTATTTAGAATAAAAACATTGAATTACTTTTGACGCGATATACATGATACATGTTTTAAGGCAATTTACAACCATATCTATTTCATTCAAGCATTTGGAAGCATGCTTCTTTAGAATTCAAACAAAACAATTATTTTTGCAGAAGATATATAGCTTTATATAGAGAATAATAGGTTGGTGCCGTGGATGGAGAAATTAGATAAATACAGAATCCCTAAAGAAAGCCCAACACGGCAAAATTGAAAATGTTGCAGGCTCGGTTTGATTGAGCCTGTTCATGGACGGTACTGAAAGTTTATCTGGCGAGGCGGAGGAATTTATTGGTGAGCCGAAGGCTATTTATCCTGTCACCGTTTTTATTTAAAGAATTTTATTAGACAAACTACCTTTAATCACACTAGCGGAAATATTTCTTTATAAACAAAGAAGGCCCGAAGCGTGCATTATTCTACAACAATGCACTCGCCGTTCTTATTATCTCCCTGTGTATTTTCACACTGAGGGCGCAATTTTGTTTGAAAAATGTGATAAATAAAACAATTTTTTGTCGAATTTTGTTGTGAAAACTATCTAGAATGAAAGAAAATGGTGTAACTAAGAAAATGGATTCGAACACCAATATCTTTTATTCAGTCGTTAACGCTGTACAGACGTTTCAAGTATTGTTTACGTGACGTCACAATGTAGCGTCAAACAGGAAGTGCAAAACAATCAAATATGTACGCTATTTTAATGTCGCAAACATTTTAAGTTTTACATTTATTTCACTTTTAATAATTTTTATTTCGCTTGAAAAATTATAGAGTGAAATAAAATAAACAAACAAAGTTTTATCAACGTTTTCAAAATTCGTTATTCTACACACAGAACATAAAGTCCTACATTATAATAATAATTATATTTTTCTTGAAAAGTAGTCCGGAAAAATGCATACCACGTGATCAAGTGCCGTAGATCAGTAAAAATATACGGCACCTTGTTATCGGGCCGAAATTGATACAAGTGACAGGATAAATACTTATATATAGGCCAAGTTAATTGTAATTCAACAACAGCCATAACAACAGAATCCAATTTGTCACAGTAACCATTCCTGTGTTGTATGAGACATTCTTTTGTCATATTAAAAAATAACATTATTCCATCCTCTTATATATAAAAACGGAAAACTTTGTTGGAGATGACAGTGTAAAATTTCGGACAATTTCGTTGAAGAGTAAACGACTTGCGAAACAATTAATTCTTCAATAAAAATAGATTACATTGTACTCTACAGAATATCTGATTAAATATATAATGTGAGATCGTAAAATCTTATTTAATCAGGATACCGGTGATATTCTATGTGTAATATCTTAGATTATCTTCCTTTAAAATAGAGAAATTATTTTTAAATGAAGAACAAACGGACGTAGTTTTAAATGAAATTCAGTTTAAAGCAAGACATATTTTTTATATTTCAACGACACTGCGAATGAATATCAAAAACTGCAGCCCACGAAACATGTAGGAAGTTAGTTTAAAACGTAAGTGATCGGATGTTGTTTATTAAATAACATTGTTGTTCGTTAAATGTTTATAATAAACATGTAATCCAGAAATAACAGGATACTTTCAATAACATTTGATATATCATCCAATGAATTTTCAGAGCTATACAAAACATTATATGACTAAAACACATATTTCAAGTACCACTCAACACGCTTATGAAAATCACATTTTATTCTCTTAAAAATTCTGCCAAATTCTATCCTTTTCATAATATCCATAAAAAATACAAAAAAAACTTGTTATTCACTTTCATTGATTTCAACCATTTGACTAAATAGATATGGAAATATGAGGTTTAATTAGCTTTAAATAAAATAAATTATCACTGTTCTGCTTAAATCTGTTTCTTTATAAAAAAAAATAGTTGTTAATTCTAACGTATCATTTCTATTCTGACAGAACTTACATTTCTAATTATTTCAAATTATACTTAAGGGTTTACCTATCACTGGAAAATTAAACCATATTTTTTTTGTTTAGGACATTATAAAGTTGCAATGAATCGTATATGTGAAGTTTACGGTAGTTTCAACATTTTAAGTATTCCCCGAGGAGGCATTTATCCATCGCGTTTCGGAACAAGGCGTAAACAATTTCTGATCTACTCCATTTCATGCGAGAATAAATCTTGAAATGTTCTCGTCATCATGAGATAATTCAAGGGGGAAGCTTTCAACAAATGGTAATTGATGCTAGATATATTTGTAGTCTTCACTACGGCTGTTAGGTAAATATCGGTAAAAACAATCTAGGCCATTAAACATTTCATAGATTAGTTTAATTGTAAACCTGACTTCCCATTAAAAGAAGCTTTAAAATTGAAATTACTTATCACTTGAATTCTTTATATTTCAAACTAGTCTTCATAAATACTCGTAATGTATAATATAAATGTATTGCCCATTTTACGTACAATGAATGCTCATATAGGCGCTGTTAAATATTTGTTACCAAACTTGGTTTCTAACTAAAATTTCACTCTTCTATACATTTTAGCAGAGAATATTGATTTCGGTAAGCAGCCCAAATTCATTTTTACATATTAAAACTAACAACATCATAAAATTTTGAAAAAACATGAATCATATTAAGAACAGTGAAGTATGTGTTTGTAGTATAATTGAAATATCATTATTTATACAAAAAGTGTGTTTCTTTGAATACTTTCCTAAATTCTTATTGTACGCATAAATAGGTATATCATAATGCATAATGAAAATATAAATGTCTTAGATCAGTGCATGTAGTGTACTCTAGCCGTAATGTGCTTATAACAAGGGTAGTTACACAACATTTTGTCCATCAATATGTCCTGATTTCTTTCCTATATTGATATTTTATGTACATGTACTGATTCATTTAACATGTACTTAATATTAAGATGATATAGTTATTAATATGTTTCTTTTTTATAAAATAATGTATTTAATATAACAGCATATTATTTGTTTGCATCGAAAACAACCACAAAAGAGAAAAACAGCATCCCTTAGAAAGTCTGACACGCCAAAATTGTAAATGTTGCAGACTCGGTTTGATTGAGTCTATTCATGGGGGCGGTACTGGAAAGTGCAAGTTACCGCCACCTACCACCGGCTTAAGCAATATTCAACAATAAGAAAAGAAAATGGTAAAATACATCAACAGAAACATTTTTAGTGGTGTCAATTTGAGCTCTGTCATTATTCAAAGAGAAAGGGAAAAAAATCTCTT